CTATGCCGCCGCCAATGCCTAATTTTTTGCTGTAGGGACCAGTTGCCCTCGGCCAGGCGCCTGCTGCTGCATGCAGGTCAGACCCGCCCTCGGCTTGCCATCCAGGCCTCGCCTCGCGTCTTCACGCGCTAATTAGCCTGGGTGGCGGTACTGGGGTCGCCCCGTGTGCTGCTGTACCGTTGTTGGCGCTTCACTTTGGGCCGTTGGACCAGCTGCCCACAGTACAAGCGCCTGACGTTGCAAGCATGTCAGACCCGCCCTTTCACCCAGAAGAGGTGCGCGCTACATACTGGCAATGCAACAGCTACATGGACGCTCTTCCCTAGGTGGTTGAGCCGTGGTGATGTGGTGCACGAGACCGCGTAGTAGTAGTAGTAGTAGTAGTAGTAGTAGTAGTAGTAGTAGTAGTAGTAGTAGTAGTAGTAGTAGTAGTAGTAGTAGTAGTAGTAGTAGTAGTAGTCGTAGTAGTAGTAGTAGTAGTAGTAGTAGTAGTAGTAGTAGTAGTAGTAGTAGTAGTAGTAGTAATCGTAGTGGTAGTAGAAGTAGTAGTAGTCGTAGCAGTAGTAGTGGTGGCAGTAGGAATAATAGTAGCAGCGGCCGTCAAAAAAATAGTAGTCGTCGTCGTCGTCGTCGTCGTCGTCGTCGTCGTCGTAGTACGTCGTAGTAATCGTAGCAGTAATGATGGTGGTGGTGGTGGTGGTGGCCCTGGGCTCGGGGCTAAGACGGACACCCGACGCACTTGCATGGACATCACCACGTGGCGGAGCTCCGTCATCCGTCTTGCGTTTTGTTGGGTCACCGTCGCATGCGAGTTTGATCGAAATGACAGGCTCGCGCAACATGAGGGCGACCGCCTTCTTATTTGTGTCCACCGCCTCCTCGAAGGACTTGCGGTCGGCCTCGCTGAACTCGTCGCCCGCGACGTCGGCAGTCTCCCCCGCGTCACGAGCGAGTCTGGCTCCCTCAATAAGGAGTTGGTGTGATCAACCGACCTGGCTGGGAGAGACTCCGACTGAGGCAACCCCAGTGCCGCCAGCTCACGAGCAGTTTTTTTCACACTGGCGCTCGTCCTCCATCGCCTCCGCCAACCACTGGTCAACCTTCGCAGAAGCCTGTGACAATTACTGCTCAGCACAGGTCTGCTCCTTCGAAGCTTTCTGGAACTGGACGCCTGGCGCTTCGCCGCCTCGGCGTGGCCCCCGCCTCGGGCAAGGGCAGAACCTTCGGCGAGGTTGGGGCCCGACTCGACCTCGATGACAGTCAACCTCGATGAGTAAGGACGCAAGATGAGGGTACAGGGCCCTGGAACCTTCCAGATTGGACGCCCTCGGATGTCGAAACTGGCCAAGCGTTGGCTGAGGAGGCCAGGATGCAGGGTGCCCTTGCGAAGGTGCTCCGTCCTCACCAGGATCGATGATCCTCAGAACATGTGATAGCGCCAACGTGTGCTTGTCCACCGAGACCCTTCAATACAACGTAGGCGGCGCAACGAGGGCCGACACGGGCTGCGCACGATCGGCGGGTCCGAACGGGGTAAACACACGCTTGGGCTAACACGCGTCCAAAGGATCATCGACAGGAAACTCAGACTGTCTGCGAACTCGCACTTCCGGACGCCGACCCCCACAGGTCGGCTCTGCAGGCGCCTCGGATAGAGGCCTCCTAGATGGGGTCGGAGTAGATGGGGTCGGAGGATCGCGCCGCATCGCCGATACATCGGCGATGCATCGCGATGCATTGGCGATGCATCGCCGATGCATTGGCGATGCATCGGCGACATCCGCGATGCATCGGCGACGCCCGCGTGCAGAAAATGAGGCTCCACATCGAGCCGCATCGCCGATGCACCGACGACACGGCGCGATCCATCGACCCCATCCACTCGGACCCCATCTGGGAGGCCTAGATCGGAGCGCCACGGAGCCGCGGCCGTCCGGTCGCCGGTGCGCCCGCCCGCGCCAACCTGGCCAGGGGCTGCCCGCCTCGGCTGCCCGAGGTGGCCCAGGAGCAGGAGGACGACGATGATGACGAGGCAGCGGGGAACTGCGATCGGGAACTCGTCCGACCCGCCCTCCCCTCCTCCTCGTCCTCACTCATCCACCTCCTCTTCCTCCTCCTCCCCCTCCTTCTCCTCGTCCTGCTTCTCCTCGTTCTGCCGCCCTCCTCATCCGCTCCCCTCGACCTCCCTCCTCCGCCTTGCCCACCTCGCCATGCCCCGCACCGTCCAATGTGCGCCTTGTCCCCTCCTCATGCTTCCCTTCTCTTCCCTCCCCTCCCTCCACCTCCTGCCTCTGCCCTCCTCCTCCCTACCTCCTCCCTCCTCCCTCCTTCTTCCCTCTTCCCCCCCCCCAGACCCCCGACGTCGTGCTCTTTTTCTTTTCGCAAAGTGGACCCCTGGATGTCCTGCGCCCTTCTGCGACGGCCCTCGGAGGCCGAAAACTCCAGTCGTGTGCTCTATGCCACGACGCGAGGAGGTCAAGGAAGGACGGCGGCGACGACGAAGGCGGCGAGGCCGAAGATATCCGTCGCGATGGTCATGCCACGACGCGAGGGGGTCCCAGAAGGACGGCGGCGGCAACGAGAGGCTTCGACGGCGGCGAAACCGAAAGTGGCCGCTGTGATCTGGTGCCATCGCGCGAGGACGTCGGGGAGGGACAGCGGTGGCGACCGAGGGCGACGACGGCGGCGGTGACGAGGCCAGCGACGTAGTCGGCGGCGGCGAGGACGAGGGCGGCGCGGCTCCACGTCGGTGACGTCTGGGTAGACCTGCAGGGGGGAGGAGCGGCAGAGGGGGGGTAGGGGAGGGAGGGGCGGTGGAGGGAGGGAAGGTGGAGGGAGGGAGGAGGGAGGGAGGGAGGAGGGAGAGGAGTGGAGCCCCCAACCCGACGCCTCACCTAGCTGCAGCCTCCCGCCTGCCCAGAAAGCCACGAGACGAACCCGTTGACCGCTAAAGATTACGAGAAGAAAACACCTTGCTGCAAACTGTATGTCGTTACGATTATTGCAAGCAGTGCATGATCGGGTTCTTCGGCCATAGGAGATACAGCGTGCTTCCCACCAATGCGTTGGAAACGAACATCCGCATACTACCACCGAATATGCACACGCCTTCAACTCTGCTTGCAGTCGGACGTTGTGGGCACGCATGCGGAACAGGAACCTTTGCTGTGGCAGTTCAGATCTGCAAAGGGCTACCCAACTGGGCCAGACTTGAGCTCTGCTTGCAATCTGGCGATGTGGGCGATGGGGCCGCGACTGCTGACCAGCTTACCAACCGATCGGTGGCCCCGTCGGGATGGCAGCATGCTGCGCAGCTGTGGGGACTTGATTATCAGTGGTCTTGACGGCTCCTGCGGCAAAAATCCGATATCCCTCAGGAGGTGTGTCATTGTCTCACTGGACTTCCAGCTCTCCACGTCGACGCCATGCCACCCCCCTGAATCGAAAGACTGGAACAACCGTCTCTCGGGGCAGGCGCATGCAGGCCTCGACTTTCTTGGCGTAGACCTCCATGTCGCTGCCCCCTCCCTCAGCAAGCGCCGCTCGCCGTATGGGGGGGAGTCCCCACGGCAGGAAACTGGGCAGCAACTCCGCGAATGGCCTCTTCACGATGACCCCAGGGCCCCTCGACTCCCTCGGGGCTGTCCGGCCAGAAGGCTGCGACAGCACAGCAGGATGATAAGACAGTGGCCCCGCACGTGCACAGGAAACCCGCGGCCCTCCCAGCTGCCTGCACCAGGGACGAAAAGATGGGCCTCCGAACGCAGGCAGGGCTCCGCCGCCGCAGCCTGGATGTCGAGCCTGGGCATCGCCTTGCCGCGGCGCCTCCGCCTGTTCTTCGTGCGTCCCTTGGCAGATAGACCGCCGACCCCAGGCACGGGCCATGCTGAGCAGCACGCAAGGTGCTAGGAATGGCGAGCGCCAGCAATGACACCCACTCGGCGGCGGAGTGACGGGCGACGCTCCGGCGCACTTTGCCGAGCCAAGGTGGCTCTACTCCTTGCACCAGCGCGGCGGGCTGGAAGGATCGCCTGTGCTCGATCGGCCACGCGTTGCACGCCGATCAACATGTCCACGGCGACCTTCAGCTCAGCGACACGCGGCACCGCCGCTGCAAGATCGAAACCAGCAGCGGTCTTCGCTCGCTGGCTGGCGGCTGTGCGCTCGATCCTCGTCCGCGTACGTCTTCAGGGGGCACTGGATTATGAACCCTCAGATAAGGAACCCAGGGTCTGGAAGAAGAGCAATTGGGGCTTGGTCATGGATGATATCACCGCCGCCCTCCTCAGACAAGGAACCCTCCAAAGTCAAACACCTCCTGGGCACTTTCTTTGACGAGCGCCCTCGCCGTAATCAAGCGAACCATGAATTCTGTTGTTCGCGATAGCTGCCGTTACCGGCCCTAGCCGCTCCCCCCCCCGTGGTAGCGTGACGATTCGTGCTGACCTCCAACTTGGTTTTGGTGAGGGACAACGATACGGAGTGACTGGCATAAAAGGGGAATATAAACGTGAACTCGGCAATACATCGCCGAAAGATCGGCGACAGGCCCCCGATAGCAAGTCCGAACGTTCCTGGGCGGGATGGGGCTATCAGTGGGCGATTGGGGGTCGGTGCATCTCCCCGATGCCTATGCTACCCTATCGTTGCCCCAGATTTGTTTTTTCATTATTGTCCTCAATGGTGACTCGAGTATTGGTTGGTATTTGTTTCCAATGTGTTGCATCGTGCTAGCATTTGACACGTGGCGCTAGGAGCAGGGAGTAAACGCACGGTGAACACCCCAGTGCCTGTGACAGCACAACTGGATGTGCGGAAGGGGTTTCACACAACCATTCACACAACCAACGGAACGCATGGGCAGCAGCAACACAATCAGGGATAGGGAAGCAGGACGCAGAGAGAAATGAGGAAGAGGCGAGAGCAGAACGGAGAAAGGCAAGACAACAAGCGAGAGAGGAGGCAGCAGAGCAGGAAGGAGGGAGAGTACAGCAAACAAAGCAGCAGGGGGACTGGAGAAAAAGGAACCGCAGGCCAAACAAGTGAAACAATGTAGCGGTATTTAGGAGCACGGACCAATTGCCCCGCCGGAAAGCACACTGGCACCCATCATCGGCTCAGAACTCAGCGGATCAGCGGAGGAGGAAGAGGAGGAGGAGGAGGAGGAGGAGGGGGAGGAGGGAGGAGGAGGAGGAGAAGGAGGAGGAGGAGGAGGAGGAAGGGAAGGAGGAGAGGGAGGAGGCGGAGGAGGAGGAGGAGGAGGAGGAGGAGGAGGAGGGGGAGGAAGGGGAGGAGAGGCAGGAGGAAGTGGAGGGCAAAAAGGTGACGCGGGGGCTCACGAGTTCACGGTCAAGTGAAGGCAGCACAAATGATTCAAGCCGTCCCCAGTGTGGGTGGAGGCCGAACGTCGCCTGGCGACGGGCACCGTGGTACCGGTCTGTCCAGGAAACCCGCTGCACGACGTCCCACGCCAGGGTCTTGCACTGAATTCTGGAACCGGGGTCGGGGCCGGGATGCGTAGTCGACGTCGGAGTTGGAGCTGGAGTCGGGGGTGGGATCGAAGGGCCGAAGCTTGAGCAGGCGCCAGAAGAGGAGTCGAAGCAGATGTCGAAACTGGTGTCGGCCGCCGGACCGGTAGGCGTGACGGGAGCCAGAAGCGACAGTCGGAATGACAGCCACGCTAATGTGGGGTCGGAGTCGTGGTACTGAGGTGGTTGTGGTGGTGTTACGGGTGGCGGCGTTGATGGTAATGGGCGTGGTATCAACTTGTTCCCAGTGGTCTCCGCCGCCTTGTTCATGGTAGCCGCCGTGCTGCACGCGGTGGTCGAACAATTCCTGGTGTCCGTCGTGCTGCTCGTGGTGCCCGTCGTGCAAAGTGGAAATGGAGTTGAAGTCAGTGTCGGAATTGACGCGGTCGTGAAACAATGTAGAACGTGACATTACCGCCCCCTCGCCTGGAACTAGGCCGCCCAGCTTCGCGCACCGCGCGCCACGTCACCTCCGCGGCCCCCTCGCGGTGGGACCTCTGAGAACCGTGGCCCCAGCGACTCTCCAAGACGCCCCTCCTCCAACTGCCACCGTTCTTCCTTTTGAATAACCTCGCTCTGTCGCACCCACGGACGTGTCGGAAGGGCGGGCCGAACGTTTTGTCTGAGACTTCCTCGCCATTTATGGACTTGAAATTCGTAACTTGCAGAAGCTTGACGGATGGAGGGTGGGTCGTTTTCAAAACATCGCTCTCGCTTCAGCGCCGCGCGCATTGGTTAAACACGGTTTGCAAAGGGCTTCACGGATGGAGGGCGGATCGTATCCAAACTGTGGCTCTCGCCTTAGCGCCGCGCACATTCGTCCTACATAATTCCCAATCGCTTCGCGGATGGAGGGCGGTTCCTCAAGGTTGACGCACAAATATTTGTGTTTCAGGGCGCGCCAGTCTATTTGATTCGCTGCGATGATGTCCAAATAACGGTGTTATGGCACGATGTAGGACCGTCAGGTCGCAACAGGAACGTTCACTCGCGGCGCTAAAGTCTCAATAATTGTGCTCTGGGGCTCTTGAACGTTTCCAGACCGTTATTCGCCAACGGGCCTCATCCCGCAGTGAAGATACTGTAAGATACATCCCTGTTGCTCTGACACAGGGAACTTGTCGGGAGGGCTTTACTGCAACGCCGTTGATGATAATTGGGATTGCACTGGTCCTCCTCGTCCTCCTCGTCCTCATCCTTCTCCTCCTACATGCCCTCCAGTATAATTGTCCTCCTCTTTCTCCTCCTCTTGCTCCTCCTACTTCTTAGGCGATACGCGCCCGAGCGCCCTCTCCTTGCGTGGGCCGGCCTGGGCGTTCCCGATGCAAACTTCGGAGCGACGTTGCCTCGGGGGGGCCGCCATCAAGCAGCATGGGCCATCAGCAATCGGCAACGCCAGACAGGGCGTAGCCATGAATAGGCGCGTGCAGAGGGGCCAGGATGTCTTCCCTTCCCTTCGTCTTCTCCTCCTCTTTCTCCTCCTTTCCTTCTCCTCTCCTTCTCCTGGCGAGCACCAGTGATGTCGCACAGCAAGCTGTCAACAAAGCGCAGGGGCCCGACGATTTCATCAGCTACATGACTGGAATCAGCGTGTGCGAGAAGAACGAGAAATGGCAGCAGACTCTGGCCCAGCTCCGCGAGCGGGAGAGAGTAGGGGCACAGCCCGACGCTTTCAACTGCAACGCCTGAACAAACTCGTTTGAAAAGAACGGGCAGTGGCAACAGACTCTGCCTAGGCTCCGGGACACGGAGATGAAACTAGTCAGCTACACCGTTGAAGCCAGCGCGTGCGAGGAGAGCGAGCAATGGCAGCAGGCTCTGGCTGATGTGCGAGAGGCTGGAGGCAGGCTGACCGAAACGTGCGGGTGGACCACGATCAGCTACAACGCTGGAAGCAGTCCGTGCGAGAAAGGGGGTGCGCAGTGGCAGCCGACGCTGGCGCTGCGAGAAGACCGATGGTGGGCGACGATCAGCCACAATGCTGGGAACACCCCGTGTGAGAAAGAGGGCGCGCAGTGGCAGCCGACGCTGGCGCTGCGGGAAAGGTGCGGGCCGTCCACGATCAGACACAACGCTGGGAGCAGCCCGTGCGAGAAACAGGGCTCGCAGTGGCAGCCGAAGCTGGCGCTGCGAGAAGCGCGCGGGGCCGCGATCGGCAACGCCGGGGGCAGCCCGTGAGAGGGGGACACGCAGTGGCAGCCGACGCTGGCGCTGCGCCAACAGTGCCGTGCGATGCGAGAGGGCGATGCGAGATGAGGGAGGCGAAGTTGGAGCCATGTCACCCGCGAGAGGCGGGAGGAGTCGGCGTGGTTCCCAGCCCCTGCCATCCACCTTCTTCCTTTCTCCCTCCCCCTCGTCGCCACGGCTGGGCGCGGACGAAAAAGGCACGGATCCCACACCACTGCGTGAAGCACCATGATGTGAGTTGGGAGTCGATGTCCGGGCGGCAAAGGCTCGAGCGACTCAATTTACTGCGAGAAGTGGGAGGGCAAGCTGGAGACCAAACCAGTCATAGAGACGCAGCGAGACGGTCGAGCCCAACGCCATCAGCTACAGCAGACAAAGATGGACGCTGGTGGCCGCTAGGCGACTGTCGAGTCCGACGTCCTCAACTACAGCGAAGGGATCAGGGCAACGCCGAGGCCAGAGCGAGCAGTGGAATAAACTACAGCGCTGGGAACACCTCGTGCGAGAAGAAGGGCAGCGGCAGCTCCGACACCACTGCGAGAAGTGGGAGGCGAAGCTGAGGCCCGAGTCTGGATTTTTGCCACAATGCGGGGATCGGGGCGGGCGCAAACCCAGGCAGTGGCGGCAGATTCTGTTGCAGCGCTGGGATCAGCTCGCGCGCGGAATGGCAAGGGAGCAGCCGTGCAAGGCACGGTTGCAATTCATCGGGGGCTCAGTGGCAGGCCCCCTGTGAGAAGCGGGAGGCGAAGCTGGAGCCCAATATCGGCAGTGGCAGCAGGGTATGTTAGCGCTGGGCTCGGACGGGCCACCCTCAGTTACAGTGCAGAGATCAGCTCGTGCGAGAAGTTTACAGCCCCTATCGGGGCTTCCCAGAGGTCTGGCTCGGCTCGGGGACGGCCCGAAGCGGCCCGACCTCCCACGGCCCACGGCACGAAACCGCTGGGCGTCGTGACCCGTTCTGGCCCGCTCGATCCCGCTCAATCCTCCTCCTCCTCCTTTTGGATGCATTGGAAAGCGCGGCTGCCTGTGTGCCGAGGAGGGGGAAGAAGACCACGGCTGCAGAAGCCCAGAATGCAAACCGTCCGGAAACCCCGATGCTCGGACCTGGACTCCGCCCAGACGGAGACGTGGATTCGGAGGTCCCCTCTCCTCCGCGACGCCGCATTTTTTCACGCCCTGGGATCCCAGGGGATCTCGACCCCTGGCCAGGGCAGACGACCCATCCCGAGTTCTATTTGGACAGTCCTCCAGACGCAAATGAAATAGAAACGGGCCGTCGCCATTTTTGCGCGACGCCCGGGTCCCCCAAAATACAACGTGTCGATGCTTTCGATCGGGCCCCCTGAAAGTCTGCACCTTCTTCGCTATGCCAACATTTCATCCTGAATCGGTTGACCCCCAGAGTCCGAGAAGGCAGAAACACTGTCGTACTGATTGTTCGATACGACGGAGGTCCGTTCGGCTCAACTCGCCCTCCTCTGACATTGGGCGGCCTGGAGCCTGGGCCCAGCGAGCGAGACGGAAACGGCGGCAGCGGTTGGTGGGCCGGCGCACGTCCGGTGTGGACGGCTGCGAGACGTTCGTGCCGTTCGGCTCCTGGAGCCTGCGGCCGCCGTCGCCAGCGGCAGCTCCTGCGGGGTCGTCGTCGAGGTCGTCGAGGTCGTCGAAGTCGTCGAGGTCGTCGTCGCCGTCGCCGCCGTCGTCGTCGTCGTCGTCGTCGTCGACGTCGTCCTCGTCTTCGTCGTCGTCGTCGTCCTTCGTCGTCGTCGTCGTCGTCGATGTCGTGGTCGTTGTCGTCGTCGTCGTCGTCGTCGTCGCCCTTCACGTCGTCAAAGTCGCCGTCGGCGAGGTCGTCGAAGTCGGCATCGTCGTCGGGGACCGCTTCCTATCTCTGAGGTTACTCACACCAATCGGAGACGATATGCCAATGTCTTACTTCTTACCTCTCGCGACGCGGCGCAGCAAGCGCACTGCGATGACACGAAGATGAAGCAATCTACAACAGCCAAGCCCGGCCGACCCTAGCAGCGTGCCATCTCTCGCCAGGCTGCTGGACTGCTCGCCAAGCATCGCGGGGAGGAGGAAGGATCGGCTACGGGGGGGATGAGGATGAGTATGAAGAGGCAGGAGGAGACAGACGACGGTGATTCGGACAAGATCCTTTGCTCAGCGTGTCGCGGCGGCGGGGGCCAGCTGGTCAAAGCTCGGGAGGTTGACGCCTGGAGACTGGGATTTGGATAGCGTGCAGCGCCGAAGCGTGGTGGGCCAGAACCCGCGGAGCAACAACGCGAACCAACAATTCCCGACCGTACTTGCCTGGCCAAGCTCAAGCTCTGAGCCGACGTTGCTCTGACGATGGGCTAATTTTCCGCCACCGCTACCATGGGTAGGACGGGGGAGAAGGGAGGATGGGGATGTCCTCCTCCTGCTCCCCTCCTCCTCCTCCTCCGCCCTCCCGACCCGACCCGCTTGTTAGGGTACAAGCGTGCCAACTCGATGATGCATTATACTTGACTGCCCTGCCCGCCCGACCCCACCCGCCAGTCAGGGCTCGCCCGATTCGACCCGCCCGCCCGACCCACTCGTCAAGGCATGCACGTGTCAACTCGATGATGCATCATATTTGACTGTCCCATCCGCCCGACCCGACCCGCACGTTGGGGCCCGCCGAACCGACCCGCCCGCCCGACCCGACCCGCCCGTCAAGATACGTGCGCGCCAACTCGATGATGCATCATACTTCAATGTCCCGCACGCCTGGCCCGACCCGCCCAGCCGACCCGACCCACCCATCAAAGTACGCGCGTGCCAACTCGATGATGAAACTTGCTCTAATGCACCGCTTACCAGACCCGACCTGACCCGCTAGAGTCCGACCCGACCCGCCAGCCCGACCCGACCCACCTGTCAGGGCATACGCGTGCCAACTCGATGATGCATCATACTTGAATGTCCCGCCCGCCGGACCCGACCCGCCCGTCGGGGCCCGCCCGACCCGACCCACCCGCCCGTCCCGACCCGCGATTAAGGTCAACCCCGACCCGACCCGCCCGCCCGACCCGATCCGCCCGGTAGAACATACGCGTGCCAACTCGAGGATGGATCGTACGTGAATGTCCCGCCCGACCGATCCGACACTCCCGCAAAAGTCCGTCCGACCCGACCCGCTTGCCCGACCCGACACGCCCGCTGGGGTTCACGAGCGCCAGCTCAATGATGCATCATACTTGAACGTCCACCCCCCCCGACCCGACCCGCTCGACCAGACCTGTCTGTTCAGATACACGCGTGCCAAGTCGATGATGCATCATTTTTTCATGCCCCGTCCGCCCGAACGGACCCGCTCGTCAGGGTCCGTCCAGCCCAACCCGACCGCCCGACCCGACCCACCCGTGAGGGCACGCACGTGCCCTCTCGATGAAGTGCTGTAAAATCGCGCCCGCCCGACCCGACCCGCCCGCTAGGGTCCACCCTGCCCGACCGGCTCGACCGACCGGATGCGCCCGCTGCATCATACTCCGCCGGCCCGACCCGACGCGCTCGTCAGGGTCCGTCCAGCCCGACCCGCCCGCCCGACCCGACCCGCCCGTTCGGGCACGCGCGCGCCAACTAAATGATGCGTCATTTGTTGATGTCCCGCCCGCCCGACCCGAACCCGCCCGTTAGGGCCCGCCCGACCCGACCCGCTCGCCCGACCCGACCCGCCCGGTCAGGTACACGCGTGCCAACTCGGTGATGCATCATACTCTAATGCCCCGCCCGCCCGGCTCGACCCGCCCGCTGGCGTCCGCCCGACCCGGCCCGCCCTTTCGGGCACACGCGTGCCGACTATATGATGCACCATGCTCCAGCGTCCCGCCCGCCCGACTCGACCCAGCAACTAAGGCCCGCCTGACCCGACCCGCCCGCCCGATCCGACCCGCCCGGTAGGGTACACGCGTGCCAACTCGATGCTGCATCATACTCTAGTGCCCCGCCCGCCCGGCCCGACACGCCCGTCGGGGTCCGCCCCGGTGCACGCGCGCCAACTTGACGATGCATCACACTTGGATGTCCCGCCCGCCCGACCCGACCCGCTCGTCAGGGTCCGTCCAGCCCGGCCCGCCCGCCCGATGACCCGACCCGCCCGTTAGGGCCGGCCCGGCTCGACCCGCCCGCCCGACCCGACCCGCCCGTCAGGGTACCGCGGCGGCCGCTGCCGCTCCAGCGGTTCTGCTCGCTGACCAACATTGGACACGGTCATGTCTCCCTCCCTCTCTCTCTCTCAACGTTGGCAGCAATCTGGAATCCTGAACTGTGTGTTCTCTGGTGAAACTCGCCCCGGCTCGACTCGCCGCGGCTCAGCTCGCCTCGGCTCAACTCGCCCAGCCGTGCGAGTTGAGCCTGGGGGAGTCGAACCTGGGCGAAATGAGTTCTTGGACATGGTCATTTCTCTCTCTCTCTCTCTCTTTCGTCTCTCTCTCTTCCATGTATCCTCTCCCTGGGCCGCCCCGCGCTGGCCCTCTGGGCGGAATGCGCGCTCTCGCGGGGGCGCCGCGCCTTCTCAGAACGATGGGGGGGGCTGTCGGCTGGGTTGTCCCCAGGCAGGGCACCACCGGACGGAAGCGGCATTTTTGGGCAGGGGCGCCCAGCCTGGAAAACACTTGAGCCGACAGGACCCCGCTCATTCTGAAATGGCGCGGCGCCTAACCGAGAGCGCTCATCCCGCCGAGACGGCTGGCGCGGGGCAGCCCGGGGCAGAGGACCCGCGGGCCTCCTCTGGGGGCCTCCGGGGCACCTCTTGGGGCCGTCTTGGGGGACTTGGAGTTGATCTTGGGACATCTTGGAGGAGATCGATCAAAAGAAGGGGGCTCCCTAATTCCTCCCCCCCCCCTGGCCCCCCAGGTCCTGAGTGAAACAAGTGAAGGTGGCTTCAACGCCGAAGACATCTTGGACGCCTCAACGAGCCGCCGCCCCTCCTCTCCAGACGACGGGGGAGGGGATAGGGGGAGGGGTACCCCCACCCCTCGAAGGGGAAGACTGGGGCTGGAAGAGGAAACCCGCTCAACCACTCACCCCCTGAAGGGCTGTTGGGGTTTACATGAAAATCTGATGGAGTGGAGGAGGAGGGTGAGGAGGAGGGGCAGGAGGAGGAGGAGGAGGAGGAGGAGGAGGAGGAGGTGGCAGAGGAGGGAGGAGGGAGGAGGGGGGGACATCCACCCCCTCGGATCCCAATAAAATCGCCCGTCTGAGCTCGCCCGGCTGCTCTCGCCCAAAACTCAACTCGCCCCGGCTCAACTCGCCTGGCTGAAAGCGCCCGGCTGAACTCGCGCCACACTCAACTCGGCCCGCTGAACTCGCCCGGCTGGGTTCACCCCGGCTCAACTCGCACCACACTCGCCCGGCTGAACTCGCGCAGGCGCTCCAGCCTTAGCGTTGGCAGCACTCCGGGATCCTGAGATGTGTGTTCTCTAGTGGATTTGCCCCGGCTCAACTCGCCCCAGCCCAGCTCACCCCGGCTCAACTAGCCCAGCCGTGCGAGTTGAGCCTGGGCGAGTTTAGCCTGGACGAGTTGAGTTCTGGGCGAGTTGAGTTCTGGGCGAGTTGAGCCTTGACGAGTTGAGTCTTCCGCGAGCTGAGCCTGGGCGAATTCAGCCCTTGTCCCTCGGCCGCGGCTCTGCAGCTGTGCTTGGGGGGACAACACGATTGAAGGAGCAGAAACGGCACAAACATAACATGTCAGAGATCAGCGCGGATTGGTTGGATCGGCGTCGGACCCCGCTGGCGGCGCTTCGGGCGCCGCCCGTGGCGCGCTCCGCTCGCCAGGAAGGGATCCAACGCCGATCCAGAAGAAACAATCGCGCCGAACTCCACAACTTTGAGTTCAAACCGTCTTTTCTTCTTCGAAAGACACCAATGCCGCTGCTCCCCGGAGTTCTCCTGCGCTCGGATCAGAATATTGAGACGCATCCAGCCACGGCGACGCGGGCTCTTCATGATGAGCAGCGGCATCGATACTGTCGTAACACGAAGCAAGGGAGACGATAACATCGAACGAATATACATCCGGTGTCTCAAAAACCCAACGATTCTGGAACATGTATCGGGCGCCGCGGCCTTCTCAAAGCGTTCCGGAACGCTCAGAAAGCGTTCCGGAAAACTCTCGAACGGATTCGATTTCGTCCTAGCCACGCCCGACCTCTCCTCCTCTGACCAGACCCGCGCTGGGGCGAAGAGCGGCCCGGGGCTCGTGCCTCGTACAGCCAGGAGCGCCACCAACGCCAGGGCCGCCACCATCGGGGGGCAATGGCGCCAGCGACCGGGCCGGAATCGGGCGGCCCACGACCCGCGGCAGCTCGAGCCGAGCGCGGCGAGAGGGACTGGAACCAGCGCGGGGCTGCACTGCACGCCCAGCCCGCCGCCCGCGCCTGCTGCCCGCGGGGCCCGCTTTGTGCGCTGCCTTGCAGCGACGGCGCCGGGATGAGGAAGGCCCTCGGCGGTGGACAAACCTCCCTTTAGTAAACCTCCCTTTAGTGAAAACGACCTGGGACCGAAACTGACGGACCTGGACCCGCAAAAATGACTGCCGCGACGCCCCCTCGCGAACCGAAAACGGCCAATTCACTAATCGACGTGTCAGGGTAGGAGGTCTGTCCACCCCCGAGGCCCTCCTTGGGCCCAGAAGGAGCTGTGGTGTTCGGGCCGCTCCTTGGAAGTCCAGGCCGGGGAGCCCGCTCGTGGCCGAGGCTCGCCGTGGCGGGAAGAGCCCCTGCTGGCAGCACGACTGCCGTGTCCGAGTGTCTCTGCTTCCCTCCACGCCTTCCCGCCCCCGTTGCTGCTGCTCTTCCAGTGGCCCCATTGTCCCCCGCCTCCTGCTCTTCCTTTACCCTCCCTTGCGTGCCTCTCCGCCTCCTTGGTGAGGGCGGGGAAGGGACGACGAGGAAGGACATGAGGAAGAAAAGGACGAGGAGGAGGAAGAAGAGAAAGAGGAGGGGAGGGAGGAGCGGAGAGAGGATAATGGGGGAGGGGAGGTGGAGAGGAGAGAGGTCGGAGGCAGGATCGGATGAGGTGGGCGGGGACGGCGGAAAACAAAGCGTGGGACGAGGAAGAGGTGGAGAAAGAGGATCTATGATTAATAATTGTGCATCATAAAGCGAAGAAGACGGGGACGGGATTCACAACATACAACATAACGCGAGACATCCCACTCCTGATCAGAAGTGCGGGGGGGAGCTCGCGTGCGCGCCCGCGCCGCCGAGATCCCAACGCCCCCAGCACCTGCCCCGCCTGCGCTCCAGGAGTTGGAATACCATGTGGGGCCTGCCCAAGAACAAGACCATGTCGCAAACGGGTCTACCCTTTCTCCGACCGTGTGCTGACTGCGCCGAACGCAGCGGCCGTGTTCTATAGACGCGTCTACCCCGAACGTGCGCAACGACACCCCACGTGCCTGTAGGCGCTTGTGGCTGGAAGCTGAGGTGTAGAGGTCCTCTAGGAGCAGGTCGACTTCGCCCTCCAAACCAGGAGGGGGACCCTCGTCCTCGTCTTTGCCCCCCCGCGCGGCCCGTTGGGAGGGGGGAGCTGTCGGGCGTCGCATCGCAGTGGGCCTCGCTCTACGACGGGCTGGCTGCGGCACTCGCCCTGCGACGCGGAAGGCGTCGGGGCGCGGAATTCCTGGGCGTCGCTCCGCCTCTTGGACTGGCTGGTGGGGAACCTAGAACATGTAAATCGGCCTGCCTGCGGGGAGGCAGGTCCGAACAACAGAAAACGGCGAAACGCAAACGGCGAGGGCCCGCCGATTGGTTGGTGTGGGAAAGGTTCTGGCTGCGCAGCGGGGGAGGAGGGATGCCTCGCTGCGAGACTGGCGCAGAGCGCGCGGGTGGGGACTCCGCGCGCGGGCGTCGCGGCTGCGTAACGTCCACGGGGCCCGTCAAGAATACCTGCGGGATCCGTCACACTCCGTCGGGTACCCAATTGTTTTCTGAGGGTCCCTCAGGCATCACTGGAAAATCCTATGATTAGGGCGCCACTAAGTTTCCAACACATTCTGGAGGAATTCCTCTGGATCCCGCAAGGCTTCCGCTCCTTAGGTGGACGGGGTCATCACCCCCCCCTGGGGAAGTGTTCGGGGTTGTTCACACATTCCTAACAACTGTTCCATGATATCCGTTGGATGACATAGGCAATCCTTGGGATGCCATACAAGAAACTGGGAATAATCCTGAACTATTCCTGAGGATTCTGGAAGACATCGTCCAGAAATTTCTGGCACCGCTGAAGAAATTGCTGGATGGCTCAGGCAATACCCAGGGTGGATGAAGACTTCGTCGCGACCCCCCTGGGATTGCTGAAGAACCTATCAGACAACCCTTCGGATCCTGGAAGATGCTCGGGGAATGCCCCAGGAACAATAATCCCGCTTCGGGTCCCCGTGCGCTGGGCAGCGAGGAGGCCGTCGGCCAGTTTCGCGAGGGAGGCGCTGGGGCCTTGTGTCACGCTTCTAGTTGCACAGCGCCGCTCGGAGCCCCGCCGGGCCGTTCTTGGGCTGAGCGTGAGCTCGTCTAGTCTGTGCCACGCGCAAGCCGACGGAGGCGCAGCCCGTCTCCTCGCGTCGAGTGGACGCGGGCGGGCGTCACCTCGCCGCCCCGTCGTTCCTCTGCCACCCCGCCGAGCGGTCCGCTCCTGAGCAGCGGGCTGCGGCAATGCCCGAGCACCCGCGCCAACCGGGAAGAGGGTCAGCAGCAATTCGGAGGTGATGCTCAGGCGGATCCCCGGAGTTCACTTCCGACCTGCCCGAGCGTTGGCCCTGCTTTCTGGCGTGGCCCCGGCCCCTCCTGCCTCCCACGGCTGAAGCTCGACCGCGATTGGCCTGATCGAACCGAAACCGCCGAGCGCCCTGGCCAGTAATCGCTCGCGCCCGACGCCAGTCGGGGGCGGCGAGAACCGCGCCGAAGCGGCCCCGCCCTCCCTCGGGAAGGTGGGGCCTCATGGGGAAGCACGAGACAGGTCCCTGAGGCAACTGAACACAGCTCGCAAAAACATGGCGCAGCCGAGTGCCGAAACATGAAAAGAGAGACAATGCAAGGTGTGCCCCGCCCCTCCCCTCCGCCCCCCGCCCTCCACCCCCCCTTCCCCTCCTGGCATGTGCCAGGTGGAGACGGGGGGATGAAGGGCATCGAGGCTTGACCTGAATCTGCTCTCATCTGCACTGCGTCAACGAGGAGGAGGAAAGGGAAAACCGTGCGGCCGCGCACTGAGCTGGGGATACCGGGCGGCCAGGGCCACGGCAGAAGAAGCGAACATTGGCCCGCCCGTCCCGGCTCACGCGGGCGGCCCCGACCCCGGCGCGCTTGCAAACCGCGCCCCCAGAAATGGGGGAGTGACTGACGGACGGGCGGGCGGACGGACGCCGGTTGTCGCGTCCGCGCAACACTTTTCTTTCAGACTGCCAGAACTATTCGGGGGCAGCTTCGGGCGACTTATCCATATTCTGCTTCTTCTCCTTCTCGGCACTTCCTTCTCGGTACTTCCTTCTCCATGTTCTGCTTCCTTTGATTCGGGGGTGCTGTTGAAACCAATGCTTGTCTCCGTTGTCGTCGCAATCCGCGTGATTCTCCTCATCGCCGTGCCCGTACTCACTCTCCTCCGTTCTGTCCTTGCCCTGCTCGTACGCAGCATTCGGCTTGCTCTGGTTGCTCTTGTTCTCCTTCTTCTGCTTCTCGCGGGGGGGTCAATGTCTAGCCCTCTTCGGGACTGTCGTGAAGTGTCCTTGGGGGTGATACCGCATCCAGTTTAGCTTTATACTCTGCGTTCGGCTCTTCGATGATGCTGCCGAAAGGCCAGGTGGTGTGAAAATCCTTGCCCGCGATGCTCTCTCGCTGAATCATTTGCTGACCTCAATATGGGCACCTTGTTGAGCATCTTTGCGAACAAGTCCGTGTCCACTTACATGAAGAAAGTCTCTCAGAAAGCCACGCCCGCTCGAAAATCCATACCCATGCTCATGGGTTCATCTCTGCTTGCATGCTCAGCTTTCTCGTGTGCAACAGGCAGCCCAAGTGTCCCAGGTTGGCCGCAACTGTCTGCAGACATGGCTGCTGCCGCGGGCCCGCCCAGGCCGCCGCGGGCCGGCATTGGCTTGAGCCAGAATGGCTTGTGCCAAAATGCCTGGGTTGCCCCAGGGATGATCGATGCCGCGACCGATTGGGAGTGCCGACCAATCGCAACCGATCGCGACCGAGAGGCACGGTAGAGGGAAACAATTACTGAACACTCCCCCTCCCCCCCAACCCCAATGTTGGCACGCGCGGGGGAGACTGCGGTCGAAGTGCATCTCATCAGACCCACCGCCAACTTTGAACATTGGGGGGAGGGGGAGCCGTTGACAGATGAATGTGGCATCATGAAAGTTCGCTAATTTGTTCCGAGGCCTGTATCCAGCGGTCTCGCCCCCGGGAGCGAGGACCCAGGGGGACGACGCTGGGCCGCGGGGCCGCGGGTCGCCCCGCGGGAGGGGCCGCGGTGGAGGGCCGAACGCCGAGGACCGGCGGCCGCGTGGCCGCGGCGGGCGCGAGCCCTCTGCTGCGGAGGGGGGCAGCGGCAAGAGCCGACGGCCAGCCGAATGCAGGACGGGAAAATGATCACAGCCACTGCTTCTTGTTTGCGCCGCCTTCCAGCCGGCCGAAGAAGAAGCAGTGGCTGTGGTCATTTCCCTGGTGCCAAGCTTAACGAAAATGTCCACAACCACTTCATTGTTTCTGCTGGCTGGAAGGCGGCAACAAAAGAAAAGCAGTGGCTGTGGTCTTTTTCACGTCCCGTACCGAAGCAGGGCCGCGAGGCCGTGGACCGAGAAGGCGAGCCCCTGCGCCGAGGGCCAAGTGCCGCACGGAGATGCCCAGAGCGAGGCGCGTCGCAAGGTGGGGGGCCCAGCGGCGAAGAGCGTCGGGGCACCCCTCCGAGACCCGGGCTGCTCTTAACCATCGTGCCGGCGCGAGAAGAAAGGCGCGGGGAGGCCCGGTGACGACAGCGCAGCCCGGACATGCTCGCGTCGTGGGAAAAATCACGGCGGATTTTTGTTGTTGGCCACTTTCGGCCTCTGGGGGTCCGTCCTGGGCCCCGGGACCAGAGAGGAGAAAGGGAGGGGGCACCCACAGAGGCATCCAGTATCCAGAAATCCTCTCGTTCACGGCCCACGCACAAGTTACCTTCGGCCCGTCCCATCACGGTGTCAGGCCTGTGGGGGCAGAAGCCTCTTGGATGCCTCTTGGGTATCTTGGGGTGCCTCTTGGCGGCCTCTTGGAGGGCTCTGGAGGGCATCTTGGAGGCTTCCTGGGGGCTTCCTGGGAGCATCTTGGAGGCCTCTGGGGTTGGGGGAAATGCTCCAAAGGCCCCTTCGTGATTCCACCCTCCGGGGCCGAACACATGTAAACACGCAGTGTCGTTCGGTTTCACTTCGGCTTCCCCCCCTGCGATGTTTGCTGTTATTCCAGCGTTCGGCGCTTGCGGTCCACAGGCGGCATCAGTGCTTATAGCCGCTGGGGGGGCTGACAAGCGTGACACCCTTGCGGCAGAAGACCCTCCACAGCTTGACAGAATTCACGAGAGGGGGGGGGCACGATGGGCCACAGATTAAAGGGGGGCCCGGGCCTCCCATGGGGGGCCACGATGGGCCACCAATTTCGACGGCCGGGGCCCAGGCTCCCTCACCGGGTGTGAGAAACACAAAACCCTTCCAGACAGGCTGGTCAGGGAAAGCAGCATGTGCTCACGTCCCGCGGTGCGTCCTCATGGCACGTCCCCTGGCACGTCCCCTGGCGCGTCCTTTGCGACGTCCCGCGGCGCGTCCCCGTGGCATGTCCCGCGGCGCGTCCCGTGGCACGTCCCTTGGCGCGTCCCCTGGCACGTCACTGTGCAGCAGGGCATAACGCAGCGGAGCACAACACAGCCACTGGCACAGTATCAGCGCAAGCGATACCTTCAGCACTGCCTTTTCCCATCGCCCAATTGAAGTCCTTAGAATCGTTTCCATGCCTCGCGATTCTCAATCCCTTTCCGGGTTCGTGGGTCGATCATGCTCTAGACAGCGCAGCACTCCAAACGAGTCTGTGGAAGAATCTCGGGCATCATCCCCATGGCGTCCCCGTCAATTAATGGAATCTCGCACTATCTCACGGCCTTAACCCTCCACCTTTATCTGGAAGCCGCGTGCGAACAAATAGCCAACGACGTGTCCCATTCAGCGTGGCTGTGCCGATGCTGCCAGGTTCCGAGGTTGGCCTTCCGATCCAGGCAGGGAGAAGGAAGGAGGAGAAGGAGGATGAGAAAGATGATGACGAAGAGAAGAATGAAGGGAAAGGATACCGGAAGGAAATGAAAGATGAGAACGGACAAATGAGAATGACGGTAATAAAAGCAAAGCTTGTACGGAGTAAGCCTAACTCACCCAGAACGCCTAATTCACACTGTGCCAAACTCTTCTCATGCGGAACTCTGGTGCCATAATCCTCCAAGGTGAAACTCCTGCGGTGCCAAAATCATCCTGTTGCCGAACTCCACTGGTGCCGAACTCCTCCAGTGCCATACTCCTCCTCTGGCATACTCCTCCAGTGCGAAACTCCTGCGGTGCCACTTCTCCAGTGCCATACTCCTCCAAGGCGAAACTCATCCGGTGCCGAAATCATCCGGTGCCTAACTCCGCTGGTGCCTAACTCATCCGGTGCCGAAAACATCCGGTGCCGAACTCATCTGGTGCCTAACTCATCCGGTGCCTATCTCATCCGGTGCCGAACTCATCCGGTGCCTAACTCATCGGGTGCCAAACTCATCTGGTGCCCAACTCATCCAGCGCCTAATCTAATCCATCCGATGCTTCACTCATCCAATGCCTAACTCAACCAATACCTAATTCATCATGTGCCTAACTCATCGGGTGCCTCATGCATCCGACTCCTACCTCAACTGACGCCTGACTTTTCCCGTGCCTACCTCATCCTGTGCCTAATTCATCCGGATTGACTCATCCGGTGACTAACTCATCTAGGCTAACTCATCCAGTGACTATTTCATCCGGTCTAACTCAACCCGTCGCGGTTCATCCGAATCGCGGATCGGATGAGCCAGAGCGAATGAGTCGACATCGGATGAATCAGCCAATCCTAATCTAACATACCCTGCTGCTCTCTGATCTGTCCGACGCTGATAATGCAAGCTGAGACGCTGATGCCGTACACACACGCCGCTGAAACTAGGTGGAGGACGTGTCGAGATGCTGGTGCTCGCGCTGCGCGCGAACCTTTTGCGGGTGCAGAAGAGAGCGTGAGCAGATCCAACTCCACGACCCTCTGAACGAATCTGCAGAAAACCATGAGAAAATGTAGCCGCCCAGGCAGCGCGGTACAGAAAACATCCGCCACCTCGCTTGACGCTGTTGGTGCAGCGGGCCCTCCGAGTCTGTCAGCTTTCAGCAATCGCCCAAGCCAGGGGGCCCGACGCATCGCGCCCAATCCGCGTTCCTTCAAGAATCGTTTCTCTGCGCTTCTGCCTTCCCCCCCCCTCCCCCAGGCGCCTGCCCAAGCGCGGTGGCGGAGTCGCGCGGCAGTGCAGATGGATATCATGGGCAAGTGCATGATCAGCAGGCCGCCCGCGCGGCGCGGATGCAGACGCGAAGCATCAGAATGTGTGTCTGATAACACGCATCGGCACACAGCGCATTGAGGCAAAACGGCAACTCAGAATCGGCCCCCGGAGCCCTCACGAGGTCCAAACGCACAAGTTGTCCTAGCTGGCGCTCGGCAGTGGCCACGAGGCCCCCACCCCGAAGGCCAACTACCGTTGTCTCAATTCGCCGTTCTCTGAACGCAAGGCCGAATCACGTCAAGCGTCAGATTCCATGCGGTGGGACCTCCATTAGGGCAATAATACACTGCAGAAACATAACTTGTCTGAGCTCCGCGCGGGTTTCTTGCATCCGCGCTGGAAGCCCCGCCCTGGCGCAGGGGGCGCCAGGGGCAGCGCTGGTTTCGTCGCCAGGGGGGTCTGGCGCCGATCCAAGAAATCCGCGCGGAGCTCTGACAGTTTATGGTTACGTTTATGGTCTTTCCGCCGTACTTCAGGACCACATCCCAAAAATAATTTCGAGCACCCAGAAAAGTGTCGAAACAGTGTCGAACGAGTATCCCCTCCCAGGGCCCGACACGTGAAAATCCGTCTGTTTCAGAACTTGCTTGGTGCTCGAAACTCTTTCTGGTGGCCAAGACTAAAGTAAAGGTTGGAACAACGTAAGGTTACGCCGGTTTTTCTGGTCTTCCAGACGCCTCGCCCGGCGGCGCGGGCGCCACGCGCAGGCAGACATCTCACCAGCCGACGAGCTGCGGCGCGGGACGCTCCTGGAGAGGGGCGCAGCAACATGCCAGCACACGGCATGTAAGGGCGGGACCCAGGAGAAGGACATGGCAGCACTTCACCTGCCTCGAGTGAATAGTTAAACAAATGCTGTATATAAATACTTAAAACCAGTAAAATGTTTACATCTTATCACTGTCTCCAATATTCACAAGCCCAAATGCGATGCCGATCTTAGGGATGGGCCCCAGGAGAAGGAATCAGCAGCACCTCGCTGACATCCAAGATGAGCCCGAGAGCTCAGCCTCCAAAGCCCAAGGCGGTGGCCCACGGCGGACACAGGAGGAGGAAGGAGGGGGGAGGGGAGAGGGGAGGTGGAGGGATATCAGAAGGAGGACCAACTTGACCACGCAAGAGCACATGCCACATGAACGCCTCAAGAGCTTCTACACCGCCAGCTGCGGAGCGGACCCTCCTGCACCTCGGCCCCCCTCCCCCCCGCGGTGAACACGTGCAAAGCCCAGCCTCGGACAAAGCCGCATGCCACGAGGCACCAGGGACGCTGGGGACCTGAAGGTCCCCGAAGGACAGCCGCCGCCGGACGCAAACTCGATTCCGGCCGGTCAGCTCGGGAAGTGCCCGCTCCAGAGAGGAAGGGCTGCCCATGCTGCCTTGGGCGCCAGACATGAGAAGCGCAGCCACTGGCAGCGTGGCCCTCCTGGCCTGGCCCTCCTCCTGATGATTGGGGTCTCCAGGTCCTCCCAGGGTGCCCTCGCCGCCACGGCTGGACGCAACCTCGAAACCCGGGCCCTCGAGCTGGAATCGGCGATGCACCGCCGAGAGACCGGGGACAGGCCTCCGGTGGCAGACCGGCACTGTTCTGGCGGGGTGGGCTATCGGACCCCTTTCCAGCGACGAGGGGGCCATTTTGGGTCCTGATCTCGCCACCTGAGCTTCTCAAAATTCTGATCTACTGGAAGGAATAGACTGCAGAAACATAATTTCTCGGAGGTGCGCGTGGAGGGTTTTTCTGAAGGGCTTAAGCCTTAGGCGGCCCGTCCTCCTCCTCCTCCTCCTCCTCCTCCTCCTCCTCCTCCTCCTCCCTCCCTCCCTCCCTCCCTCCTCCTCCTCCTCCTCCTCCTCCTCCTCCTCCTCCTCCTCCTCCTCCTCCTCCTCCTCCTCCTCCTCCTCCTCCTCCTCCTCCTCCTCCTCCCCATCCTCCTCCCCCTCCCCCCTCTCCTCCTCCTCCTCCTCCTCCTCCTCCTCCTCCTCCTCCTCCTCCTCCTCCTCCTCCTCCTCCTCCTCGGGTCGCCTACGGCCCCGTGGAAACCGTGCAGGTGCGCGCGGACTTCTTGAATCGGCGCCAGACCCTCCTCCCTGGCACGCGGACCGGCGCCAGGGGGCGGCGCCTCCCGCGCCGCCAGGGTTAGGTCGGGCGTGTCCTCCTACAGGGGGGGCTTCAGACGAAAATTTTAAAAATAGGCAACCAATATTCCATGATGGTCAAAGATAATTGACAAAATTCGTCCCCAGACTATTTTTGCTTATTTCTGGATATTCCTTTTGTAGAGGGACGTGCCCGACTTAACGCCAGGGGGTCCCAACGCCGACTCAAGAAATCCGCGCGGAGGTCCAACAGTTTGTATCGGCGGCGAGCCCAGGGGGGAAGCAAGAGGGGGCAAGCCTTCTCAGAAGGCGACGGGGTTTCTCAGAAGCCCTCTGGCTTTCTGACAAGCCGTCTCTGTTTTCGGAGAAGGCCTAGAAAGCTTCTCAGAAGGATGGAGGGCTTCTCAGGAGCCCCGCCGCCTTCTGAGAAGGCCTACCGCCTCTCGCTGCACCCCTGGGCTCGCCGCCAATGCAACTTGATGTTCTTCGATGGTCTGCGGAATCCTGGCCTCAAAAGCCCTGAGGTTCTGCGGCAACTCATGAGAGCGTCCCATCCCATCTTGTTGTCCCTTGCGAGTCGACTCGACTCGATGCTAAATCGACGCTGAATCGACGCCAACTGACACAAAACCGGCGCTATCTCATCGACTCCAGGCGGCAATCGACGCTCATGCACTCTGAGCACGGAATTGCCAAGATATTGGAGAAACCGAGACGTAGTGATACCGCTACCCCCCAGACCTCTCCTGGGGTGCCTTCTGACCAGGATCTCGGAGCGAATCCAGCGGTGGCGACGTGGGCCTCCCAGGAGGCACAGAAAAAGGGGAAACCGAGGCAAGGGTAGCGGCATGGGTCCCTTCTCCTCCTTTAAGGTAATTATACAGTGGAGGCCCGACCACAAGAAACCTTCCACAAAAAACCAAACTCTGAGACCCTGGGACGTCCATTGATTTCGCGCTCTCCATCGCACAACCCTCGAAACCCTCGAAACCCAGGGCACCCTGGAGGCAAGTAGGGTGTTCCTTGGCATGGGTCTCCACTGCACGAGCCTCCCATGACTTGCTGCCCAACTTCGGCGGTGGACAAACACCTCCCTTTCGTAAACCTCCCCTTCGTGAAGACGGCATGAGACCGAAACCGACGCACCTGGACCTGCAAAAATGGCGGCCGCGACGCCCTCTCGCGAACCGGAAACGGCCGATTCCTTACTCGACGTGCCCGGGTAGGAGGCCTGTCCGCCCCCGACAACCGAAGCCACCTCTCACTGGCCGGGCCGGGCCGCGCAGCCCCCGCGGCGGCGCCGCGCGCCGCGCGCGAGGCTCCGCGGGGAGGCCGCCGCCCCGAGCCGCCCGCCTCTCGAGAGCCGCGGGCGGCTCGCACGCCGCCCTCGCGCCGCCTCGCTCTCCGCACGCTCGCTCGCCGAGCTCGCACGCAGAGGGCTCGGCCGCAGGCCGCCGCACGGCCTCGCTCGAACCCGCGCGCTCGCACGCGCGCGGCGCTCCCGCGCTCGCCGGGGGAGGCGGCCGCCGCCTCGCTCGCGGCCCGTCGCGGGGAGGCGCCCGGCGCCGGGCGGCGCTGCGCTCCTGGAGGCTCTCTCTGTGGCTCCCGGAGGCTCCCGTGAGCTCCTGCGAGGCCTTCTCGCCTCGGGAGGCTTCCTGGCAGCTGCGCCTCGCCGAGGGCGTCCCATGGGGGGGTGCAAGGGAGCCGCCCCGAACACGCCCGTCGGAGGCCCGAGGTGTGCGCCGAGAGCCCGGGCCTCCGCCGAAGGGATGCTTCAATCCCGAAGTTTTCTCCTCGAGTTCGGCATCTGGGACAGTAGTCGGGAGCGGCCAAGAGGGTGTGTGTGCAAATCATGACCGGCGGCATGTGCGCGGCCCAGCGGGGGGGCCTGGGACGCAATGAAATAAGAAGAGGCGCCATGAAATCTGCGGAGATATCATGGCCCGCGCCATGATATCCACCCCCCCATAGTCATCACCCCCCTCTTTTCCGCCCCCGAAGTAGCCGGTCCCGGATCCGTTCTTGAGAACGGATCCGGGACGAGAAACTACCCCAGGGGAAGGGGTTGGGATCCCTCGGGCAGCGCACTGGAACACAAACACATCGGCGTATGTCTGGGACGGCGCCAGGCAGGCTGCAGGCGCTGGGTGGCGCTGCGCAAGCGTGGGGTGGATGGGGACGTAGAGAAGAAACATCGGCCTGGAATCGGCTATGCGTCGCCGGTAGATCGACGATAGTCCCCCGGAACCACGAGCACACGTTCCTAGGCGGGTTGAGCCATCGGGCCCCTATCGGCGATCAATGTGAGATTGGGGGTCGACGCCGTCCCTCTGAGACTTTCCCCCCCCCCGAACGCGCGCTGGTTCTGGGAGGTCCCCTGGCTTCTGGATGGCACTCGGGCCGTCTGAGGCCCGTCGCGGAAGATGTTGCTGCCTTCTTGAGGCGGCAATCCCGGGGCTAGTAAGAGCGCCATGGAGAAACGCTACGATGTGTAAGCTTTGCGAGAATACAGGATGTAGCGCTTATGCTACAGGGCCCGCGCTGGCTGGGATGGAAGAGGGAGACGCAGGTGGACTGAGCGCGCGACGTAGACGTGTAGCAACGCAACTCGTCAAGGAATGTCCACTTTGAGTGTCTCCACTGTCAAGATAGCATCTCGCTCAAGATGGCTGAGGGTGCAAATTTTGCTGAGGTGGCCCAGACGCGGCGCCGTGGCTAAAAAGCGCATTCGACAGCGCACGCATGCATATTGCGTGATTCGCGCGGGTTCTTGGACCCGCGCCTTACCCCCCTCCCTGGCGCGGCGGGCGCGTAGGGGGCGGCGCCGGAGGCGCCGCCGATGGGGGCCCAGCGCAGATCCGACAGATCCGCGCGGAACGCCAGACAAATTTAAGTTTATGTAGTTGTCTTCTTTTTTCGAATGACTTGCCGTCGTCCATTCCCTGTGCATTGTTCGGCTTCGTGTTTCTGCTATTCCGCGAGATGGTCCAAGATGCTCCTCGATGGTCCTCGCCGAGAAAAGACGCGCGCGCGCAAGCGCGGCCGAGGCGACGGCGCCTGGCTGGCCTCGGCGAGCCTCGGACCGACTGCGGCGACGTCTGCTCTCGGTGCGCGTCGCAGTCGGGGCGCGGCTGAAAAGGGGCACCCACACGGCCCCCCAAGACGCTTCAACGCTGCCCCCAAGAGGCTCCGCCAGGCCCCCAAACAGCTCCCAGGAGCCCCACCGGTGTCCTCAGACGGCGCCCAAGAAGCCCACGACGCCTCATCCGTGGACGCTGCGCCTCTTGTGGGGGTCGGCGGAATGGCGTGAGCCTTTTGAATCGCCTGGGTGCGCGTAGGAAGCCGCTGCGCGAGGCCTCCGGGGAGCCCGCCGAAAGGAGGGCGACAAAGAGGAGGATGGGGAGGAGGAGGAGGAGGACGACAAACAATGAGCTGGAGAGACCGTGAAGGCGAAGCCAGAGACCGCGCGCGTGAAGCTCGCTGCTCTCAGCGGTGCGGCGCGACGCGGGCCGCGCGCACCTCAGCGCGCGGCCGCCGCCCCCTGCGGGGCCGCCGCCAGCAGTCTGCTAGCCGTCAGACATGAAGAATGGGCGCCCCGAGAACCACGAGGATGAGCGGCGCCGAAACGACGCAGCCGCGGTCGCGCCTGCCTGGCACCAGGCACCGCGGCAGGAAGCCAAGCCGACGACCACGAGGAACAGCGCGACTGCCGCAACACCACGGCCAGTCAGGCCCGCCACGGACCCGACCACGAATTCGATGCAGCACGTCCGCTGCAAAACTCCTGCAGGAAATCGGTGCCCCCGCGCGAGTGGCCCGAAGTGCCTCTATAACTGTGCGAATGCGGCTAGGCGAACGGCTGCGCCCAGCCACGCGCAACTCGTTCTCGAGACGCCCCACCTGCGCCCGCAAGGAATCGGCGATCGTGGAGACGGAGTCGCTACAGGGCGATCCGCGAGGGCGGTTGCCGCCGTCGCGCGCCCCTCCTCCGCCTCCTTGGAAGCCTCGGCGAGGGCCATATCATCATCGTCTGCATGAGATCCCACGGCCTGCGAGCTCCTCTTGTCGTTCTGCTTCTTGGATTTCTTCGCGCCACCTGTGCGGGAAACCTCTGCTGCCGCCGCCATCGTCGCAGAAACCAGGGCCGACTCGGCGGAAGCCTCCACGGCGCCACCAGGGTCAGCATGCTGCACGCCGTCCGCCTCCGCGCGCGGAGCCTCCTCGACCACTTCGACAGCAAGATGGGTTCGCTCCTTTGGCGGCGCCGCGCCCACCTCCACCACATCAAGGGAAATCGTCCCCCGAAAGGCCCCGTGGGAGATGACACGGAGGCGCCTGGCACCCCAGCGTCAGGTTGTCGCCGCTCGTCGCCGTTTTCGGGGGCCTGGGCACAGGCCTCAACAGCTGCCGTCCGCCTGGCGCGCAATGCCGCCTGGAACGCCTCGCCCATCCTCGTCGGACGGCATCCGCGGTGGGCGAGGCCGCTGAAGGCTTGGAGCAGCGCCTGCGCCGCTCGCGCCTGCGCCCGCCCAGTTTGGGCACGGCGCTCAGCGGCGGCGCGGCGGGGGCGCTGCGGGCGCCCTGCCCCCGCGCACCACGGTGGCGCCCAGCAAGCAGCGGGGAAGGCCGCGGGCACGACAGACAGAAGCGGAGGCGGCGTGGGGAGCGCCCATTGTGCGGGCTCGCTAGCTGGCTAGACTAAACAAACCGACTTGGGCCGAGCTGGCGTTGGAAAAGGAGGAGGAGGAGGAAGAGGAAGAGGAAGAGGAGGAGGAGGAGGAGGAGGAGGAGGAGGAGGAGGAGGAGGAGGAGGAGGAGGAGGAGGAGGAGAACGAGGAGGATGATGAGGAGGAGGCGGACAAATAGGCGGAAAAAGAGGAGGAGGAGGAGAGCACCAAGGGTATCGCCAGAGTTCGGTCCTCGACCTTCGATCGTGCAACGCTGACTATTCGTTCCCGCGGAGCAGCAGGCTGGCCAGGAGCGCGGCCGGCGCCAGGGTGCCTCGGGCAGCCCAGGCACGCGGGCACCAGCTCAGCGCCTCCGCACGTCGTTGGCGCGGGAGCGAGCTGGCCCCGCCAGGGGCGCGGAGAAACGTCACTGTTCCTAGGAAGGCAACCCAAACGTGGTCAGAGTACACGGTGCCGAGGGATCGCGCCACATCGCTGTACATCTGGAGGGCAGGACAAAAAACACCGCATAGTAAGCATCCCGACGATCGAAGCCTTTTAGGAGTGAACGCACCTACGGCGGGGATCGAACACGGCAAGGCTGTTCACTAAACGCCCAGGGCCGTTTAGTATTTAGTAAACGCCCAAGGCCGTTTGGTAAACGCAAATCGTGGGGTCCGGCTGGTTGTTCCTCCCATGAACATCGCCGATGCATCGCCAGTGCATCGGCGATGCACTGGCGACGTCGGCGACGTCGGGGAGGATAACATCGGGCTCCGCATCGGGCCGTTTCGCCGATGCATCGGCGATGCGGCGCGATCCTCCGACCCCATCTTCTCGGACTCCATTTGGGAGGCCTGGATCTTTCGTGTTCGACCATGGACTTCTTGTCAACGTCGGCGGGCAGCTAGTAGCTAGTAACCCCCGAATGATGTCCAACCCTTTCGACGAACTGGTTTACCCAATCTGGGCATTTTTCATTGATTCCGGGCACTGGAGCCCGTTGTTGGGCCCCGGGGCACCAAACAACAGATCTGGGACGACCCCTGGGGAATGGGAAGGGACCTCTGGGGTCTCGCATTGAACAAGAACGCATCGTCGGATGTCTAGGTACCCGTGACCCCGGAATCATGCTGACAGTCCCGAGCGATGCAGCATCACAGGCAATATATTTGAAACTGGCAGAACGAACCAGGCGCAGTGTACTGAGGAAATCGGAGTGCACCGCGAGGAAGACCAAAGACATGTGTGGGGTCCACCCTTCCCTTCTTCCCTCCAACCTTCTCCTGCTCTCCTCTTCCATACATATTGAATGGGCCCAGGGACGCATAAACAAATAGACAAACATCACAGGCTTACTCATGTTTCCTACGTGTTCTGGATGTTCGTCTTCCCCTCTGCTTCCCAAAATTCCATTTTCTGTGACATCAACGATTATTTTATTTGCGTCTGTGTTTCATTCCTTCTTGCCATCTTGCGATTCCTCATGGGACATGTATGCTTCTGCCCTGCGCGCAGGGCTGGCTCTCCAGGGTGGGACACCTCCCCCGACGCCAAGGCTACGATGGGGAGTCTCAATACGAATACGTTTTGAAGAAGTGCATGGGTACCAGCGCGGCATCTGCGGTCAATATGCATATTGAGAACATCGAGGGGCACCAGTGAGATGGAACCCAATGAGAAATGAACGGGACCGCACGGAATCGCAAACGGAGGTCCTCTGGAACGCTACCCAACGCGCGGAAGGCCATGTGGCGTTGCAGTCCGCTGAGCCCCGCTTGCCGGGGGGAGCAGGCGTGTGAGAAGATGGGCTGTCCCCCTCACCCTTTCCCCCTCCTCCAAGGTCCAACATCTCGTTTAAGGGGGTATCCGGGCTCCCTGGCGCACCCTAGGAGATCCCAGAGCTTCCAGATCTGCCAGCGTTGCCTCAAAGACATTCCAAGACGGACCCGACTCGCCGAACGATTGGCCCAAGACGCATACGATGGCTCCAAGACGCTCCAAGACGCCTTCGAGAGGCCCCAAGAGAAGCCCAAGAGACTGCCCAAGAGGACCCCGAGAGGCAAGAAACAATTGTTTGTTATATAGATAGATATAATATTGTCATTGTTTCTGGGGTTACTATCTTCTCGAGCTTGCGACGCTCGAAGACAGTCCGAGGAGCCCCGTAGGCCGCCCCAAAACTGCCCAAGATGCCCCTAGGAGGGCCCCAGGACGGCCTAAGAGGTTTTCAAGACGGTTCAAAGAGGGACCCAAGACGGCCAAATATCACCGAAGAAGGCCCCAAGAAAAAGCCAAGAGGGAGAGCACGAACCGAAACTCATTTTTCCCAACCCTCCTGCGTTGGGTTCTCGTTTTGAATAGAGCACTGCTCGCGCGTCTCCTTCCTTACTTCCCGCCCCTCTCTTCCCCCCTGCCTTTTACCTCGCTCGTCGCCATCCCTGGGGGGCTGCGATCTGCGAAACTGCCGCCACTTTCGAGGCCTGCTGATGGGCCCCAGCACACTGGGTACTCACCGCAGATTCAAATTAGACCTCGCCATCCCTGGGGGGCTGCGATCTGCGAAACTGTCACCACTTTCGAGGCCTGCTGGGGGGCCCAGCACAGTGGGTACTCACCGCAGATTCAAATTAGACCTCGCCATCCCTGGGGGGCTGCGATCTGCGAGATGTCGCCACTTTCGAGGCCTGCTGGGGGGCCCAGCACAGTGGGCACTCACCGCAGATTCAAATTAGACCTCGCCATCCCTGGGAGGCTGCGATCTGCGAAACTGTCGCCACTTTCGAGGCCTGCTGGGGGGCCCAGAACAGTGGGTACTCACCGCAGATTCAAATTAGACCTCGCCGTCCCTTGGGGTCTGCGATCTGCGAAACTGTCACCTCTTTCGAGGCCTGCTGGGGGGCCCAGCACAGTGGGCACTCACCGCATATTCAAATTAGACCTCGCCGTCCCTGGGGGTCTGCGATCTGCGAAACTGTCGCCACTTTCGAGGCCTGCTGGGGGGGCCAACACAGTGGGTACTCACCGCAGATTCAAATTAGACCTCGCCATCCCTGGGGGGCTGCGATCTGCGAAACTGTCGCCACTTTCGAGGCCTGCTGGGGGGCCCAGCACAGTGGGCACTCACCGCAGATTCAAACTAGACCTCGCCATCCCTGGGGGGGCTGCGATCTGCGAAACTGTCGCCACTTTCGAAGCCTGCTGGGGGGCCCAGCACAGCGGGTACTCACCGCAGATTCAAAAATTAGACCTCGCCATCCCTGGGAGGCTGCGATCTGCGAAACTGTCGCCACTTTCGAGGCCTGCCGGGGGGCCCAGCACAGTGGGTACTCACCGCATATTCAAATTAGACCTCGCCATCCCTGGGGGGCTGCGATCTGCGAAACTGTCGCCACTTTCGAGGCCTGCTGGGGGGCCCAGCACAGTGGGCACTCACCGCAGATTCAAATTAAACCTCGCCATCCCTGGGGGTCTGCGATCTGCGAGATGTCGCCACTTTCGAGGCCTGCTGGTGGTTCCTGCGGAATGAGGCACCGCGCGGACCTGAGCGGGACCTCGCCGTCCCTGGGGGGCTGCGATCTGCGAAACTGTCGCCACTTTCGATGGCTGCTGGTGGGTCCAGCGGAATGAGGCACCGCGCGGACTTGAGCGGGACTCGCCGTCCCTGGGGGGCTGCGATCTGCGACATTGCCGCCACTTTCGAGGGCTGCTGGTGGGTCCCGCGGAGTGAGGCACCGCGCGGACCTGAGCGGGACCTCGCCGTCCTTGGGGGGCTGCGGTCTGCGAAAATGTCGCCACTTTCGAGGGCAGTTGGTGGGTCCTGCGGAGTGAGGCATCGCGCGGGCCTGAGCGGGACTTCGCCGTCCTTGGGGGGCTGCGATCTGCGAAACCGCCGCCACCTTCGAGGGCTGCTGGTGGGTCCTGCGGAGTGAGGCACCGCGCGGGCCTGAGCGGGACCTCGCCGTCCTTGGGGGGCTGCGGTCTGCGAAACCGTCGCCGTTTTCGAGGGCTGCTGGTGGGTCCTGCGGAGTGAGGCACCGCGCGGACCTGAGCGGGACCTCGCCGTCCTTGGGGGGGGGGCTGCGATACGCGACATGTCGCCATTTTCGAGGGCTGCTGGTGGTTCCTGCGGAATGAGGCACCGCGCGGGCCTGAGCGGGACCTCGCCGTCCCTGGGGGGCTGCGATCTGCGAAAATGTTGCCATTTTCGAGGGCTGCTGGTGGGTCCTGCGGAGTGAAGCACCGCGCGGGTCTGAGCGGGACCTCGCCGTCCTTGGGGGGTTGCGATCTGCGAAACCGTCGCCGTTTTCGAGGGCTGCTGGTGGGTCCAGCGGAGCGAGGCACCAGGCAGATCTGAGCGGGACATCGCAATCCCTGGGGGGCTGCGAGCCTAACGAATGCCGCTTGCAGAAGTATATGCGCCCATGTCACGTCATCACCTCCGTATAACGTCTCCGAAGCTACTCATGCCCCGTGTTGCGCAGGGGTTGGGTACGTCGCCAGGGTAATTTCGCCACAAAAGGCTCCCCAACGGCCCCAAGAAGCCCCCAAGCGGCCCCAAAGAGGCCCCCAGTAAAATCCAAGAGGCCCCCAAGAGGCTCAAAAGAAGCCCCGAGACGGCGCCCAAGACGCTTCAAAACTGCCTCAAAGAGGCCCCACCAGGCCCGCAAACAGCTCCCAAGACGCCCCGGATTGTACCCAAGAAGCACACGACGCCTCAACCGTGGATTCCCCGCCTCTCCTGGGGGTCGGCGGAACAGCGTAAGCCCCTTGAGCAAACGTTAACGAAGCGCCCGTTGGGAGCGGAGTGGGAAGATTGCACCCCACGGCGGGTTACTCAGGCCTTCAGCGTTCTCGTTCACCTCTTAGTCTTCGACGGATTCCAGGTGGTCGTCTGCGTGAAAAGTGGATGGCTGCATGGCTGCATTTGGCAAGCAGTTCAAGATCGAACACCCGACAACTCGAGCGTTGCAGCGACTCGAGCTCTGCTGGGCATGGCTCGGAGTGCGACTGGACCGAAAAGCACTCGGTTCGCGAGGGCCTGCGTCAGGCGGAAGCGGCGCAAGGGGGGGGGGGGGGCATTGGGAGAACAGAAGGAGAGGGGGCGAGGAGGAAGGGCATGGGCGAGGGAGAACGTTCGGGGGGAACTGGTCGTCCAGGGGGAAGACACATGGCGCTGGAATCGGCGATGTATCGCCGATGGATCGGTGATGGGCCTCCGGTGGCGAAATCGCAGGTTCCTGGGCGGGGTGGGCTACTAGGCTCCTATCGGCGATGAATCGGCGTTTGGGTGTCAATGCGTCCCCGTCGGCGTTTGGGTGTCAATGCGTCCCCGCTGAGCCTATCTTCCCCGCTACTTGACGCTGCCCTGAGAAGGACTAGCACTCACCTCGGTGCAAGCAAAAATTACCATCTACTGCGGCTCCACCCAGCAAGAAGCTGAGGAAACCAATGCATCTAGCTACTACTGAGGCTGGTCAGCCTCAGCCGACCACGCAGCCTGCCATGGCTTCGGCGCTATACTGCGCAGGATCATGAACCCCAGCGTCCTCGAAGAGCTTCTGCAACTGGCTCGCGATCTTCTGGCCCGCGTCGCCGCCGGGCATAGACCCGCTCTGGGCGCCGAAGATCAGGATGTTGGGATCATCCATCGCCTTCTGGACCACTTCCGGGTCGTGGAAACCCCGCCACATGGAGAGAGCTGGGTTGTGTTGGAACTCCCGGTGGATGCATTTCTCGTCCGTTTTTGTGGCGGCGTAGAGGTAATACAGGGTGAACTCAGTAGCGCCGTACTTGATGTGGCCACAGAGGGCGCCGTTGCACAGGGAGAGCGGGCTGGGGCTCTCGTGTAGGTCCTGCAGCAGGTTGATCACCGTCTGGGTGTGCATCACCACCGGCGTGATTGACGCGGACCACTTCCTGCCCGGCGGGATGTCGACACCGAGGACACCCGCTGATTTGTAGTACCTGGAGAGAGGGCACGAACACAACACCGCTACACCCCAGACCTCTTCTGGGGCGCGTTCTGGCAACGATGCCGAGGTGAATCCAGCAGTGGCAACGAGGACCCCAGAGGAAGCCCCAGAAGGCGAAAACGAAGGAATGATGTCGGGTATGAATATGAATACGCGTCGTTCCTCCGGATACCACCCTTTTGCGTCCGAGTTCAGAAGATCGAAATCCGTATCCGCGAAGACTTTAGCCTGGTAGCAGGGCGTCATGAAGGTGTCTGGCTCAATGTCGCGGATGAGCGCATTCTTGGCGTCCATCACCACGTAGTAATCCTCCTCGACCAGGCCGGAGGCCTTCAGCTTCACTATCTGCTGTGTGTGCCAGCCTTCCATGCCAGCCCCGAACATCCAGGACATGTCGTGGAACCGTACAGTGTGCGACGCCGCAGCAGCATTTCGGATCGAATCGATGTCGCCCATGTAGTCACTGGGGGGATGCTTCGAGAGCCAGACAAGGTGCACAGTGCCGATGAGCAGATTTGGATCGTGCTTCGTGAGGGACGCGGCAAGCAATTTCATCTTGCACAAGTCGCGCTCGTAGAACAAGATCACCATCGCCGGCGGCGCTGGGTTCGGAGGCGCGCACTTCGGGCAACCCCCGGAGCAGATGGGGTTCAACACCGTGCCATTTTCTCTGTACACCACTCCCGTACCCTGGTTGTCAGAGTTCGTGCCCATCTTGAAATGGGTGCGGTTCGCTGTGTAGCACCCCTCTGGGACCCCAGCATCTGTGACAGTTGGGATGTCGACACCAGAACTGTTGTTCGCGGGGCCGATGCTGCTAGCGGCGGCCTCGCACGTGCTCTGATCGGTAATGGGCATCATCCCCGCTTCCTCGCACGTGCGCGTGAAGATCATCGCCTCTGTCACGCGCCAGCCCTCTGAAGGCCGTGAGTCCTCCCGCGCGTGCTTGGGCTCCTCGACTGGGAAGAGGTACCCGCCGTGGAAGGTTTTAAGGACGACCGACTGGGGCTCCCCCGACGACGCATTGCCCGGGTCCAGCGTCGATAATGTCGTGTCTCCCCCCGTGAGGTTCCCAGTCCGAAGTACTGGCAGGTCCAGGGCGCTGAAGAATTGGCTGTGGACAGTCTCGATCGTAAAATGCTCCCAATCGCCAGCTTGATCCTGGTCTGCGGTGACGGAACCGTCCTTCATCGCGCTCAGGAACGTGCCCATGCAGGTCTTAAGGGCCACGGTGCCGCCACCCCCGTCCACCAGCCGGAACGCTTCGCATGCCGTGAGGTTTGCCCCTTGAGCGCTGACCACGACCTTACCGCCCGCGTTGACGCCGACGTAGGTGCCCAAATCCGCTACCGTGCCGTAGCCACTTGGTGGAGGCTCCTCAGTCAAAAATCTCAGAACCCTTGATCTAATAAGATTCGAATGTTCTTCCAGGGGCCCAGACCACTAAATAGTGGAGGCCTCCCAAGAGGCCTCCAAGAGAGACCTGTTCTACAACCGAGGAAAAAAAAGGTGGGATGAGCCAAAGGCCACTAGATCCGACACCCTCTGTGGCTGGCCACAGGAGGGTGCACGGCGTGCCCGTCGTCAGGTCGTGTTAAAACTTCCCAGTGGGGCCTCGTCCCAATCCGCCAGCCACCCCAAAAGGCCCTCCAACGTTCTCTCGTCGGTCTTCCAGCGCAAGACGGCCCCAATGTGGTCTCCAAGACGGCCGAGATGGCCTCCAAGATGGCCTCACAACGGTCCAAGATGTCCTTCTCATGGCCCAAGATGTCTCCAAGACACCCGAAGGGGGCTCCCAGAGGAGCTCCAGGAGGCCAATACTATTGATTTTCCGTTGGCATTTCCCAGCCATCCTGTGGCGTTGGGCCATCGCTTTGAAAAGACAACGGGTTCGCATGGCAGCCCCGCCGAATGTCGGCACACCCCTCACATGCTTCATTGCCCCAAATGGGAGGGGGGGTGGGGCACACCTAAGGCCCCAATAGCAGCGCCCGCATAGCGGCCCTGCCCCATGTTGGCACACCCTTTACACGCTTCGTGGCCCCAGAAAGAGATCCACCAAAGCCGGTACCCACAACGGCGACACTCACAACTGCATATGAGTGGTACCCCTGTCATGACAATTCAATCGTTTTAGTGCTCTTAGGTTTGTCAATGATTGTAGCGCTTCCACCTTTTCGGGCTTCCGGCGCACCAAGTCGGCCCCATGGGCCACACCAGAGGACCGCAAAACGGTCCAAGAGGGTCCTAGGACGGTTCGGGAGGCGCCCAAGACGGCCCAACTATACACCAAAGGCGGACCCGACTCGCCAAATGGCGAGGTCCCCAGAACGGCCTCCGAACGCCAAGAGGTTCCCCAGAGGTTCCCTAGCGGCACCCAAGAGCCCTCAGGCCCCAAAGAGGCCCCAGAGGGCCCCCAAGAGGCCCCTCAGAAGCTCCCAGGAAGGCACCACGATGCCCCTAGAGGGCCTCGAGAGGCAGTCTCTTCATCTTCCTCCTCCTCCTCCTCCTCCTTCTGTTTCTCGGCCTCCTGGCTCTCCTCCCTCTCCTCCTCCTTTCTCTTGATATCCTAAGTGCTGCTCCCTGTGGGTTTCACAACGGCTGGGGGGAGCCCATAATGCAATAGCTTCGCCAGAAGTTGGCCCAACGTTTGGCCGCGTGGGCACTTTCAAAAGGCAGGGGGGCGGCGATGATTCGCCGTAGGCGTCGTAGATCAGACCCACACTTTTGCTTGCACAAAGGGTGCGTGGCGTGCCAGGTGTTCAAGTTTTTTTGTCCCTTCCAGGACAACCCCAATGGCCCTCGGACGAGCCTCCTGGCACCGCAAAGTCTGGAACATTTGCCTCCCAGATGGCCCAACATCGCCTCCAAGACAGAACCAAACGGTCCAAGATGGCCTCCACGATGGCCCCAAACGGCATCTAATTTCGCCCAATACGCATCCTTAACAACCAAATATGGCCCCAAGACTGCCCTATACAGCCTCAACCGGGAGACCAAGGAGGGCTCGAAGGGGCCCGAACCATTGATGTTCCCGAAGTTATTCCCCACATGTTTCGTGGGGTTCTGGTTTTCTTCCCTGCCGCGTCCCACCCGCGACGCTCACTCACTCACTCACCTCCCTCAGCACAGCACATCACACAGCACAGCACAGCACGCAGCTGCACATCACAACACAGCGCAGCACAGCACAGCGCAGCGCAGCGCAGCACAGCACAACATAGCTGCACATCACAGCGCAGCGCAGCACAGCACAGCGCAGCGCAGCACAGCACAACACAAACATACACATACACACAACGCGCACACGCACACATCACAACACACACAGAGCACACACACACACACAAGCAGCGCAACACAGCACAGCACAGCTCACCACAGCATACAGCTCAGCGAGGGCCGCGACGCGCGCTCGCAGCGCGGCTGGGGGGCTGAGGTGGGGTCTCCGAGCGCGGCGTCTATGCGGGCCATGGCGCAGGGCGTGGCAGGTGTGGCACTTTCTCGATCTCGTAGGGGGTGCGCTGGGGGTGGTCTCCGAGCGCGGCGTCTATGCGGGCCATGGCGCAGGGCGTGGCAGGTGTGGCACTTTCCTCATCCCGTAGGGGGTGCGCTGGGGGTGGAATCCGAGCGCAGCGTCTATGCGGGCCATGGCGCAGGGCGTGGCAGGTGTGGCACCTTCCTCACCCCGTAGGGGGTGCGCAGGGGGTGGTCTCCGAGACCGGCGTCTATGCGGGCCATGGCGCAGGGCGTGGCAGGTGTGGCACTTTCTCGACCTCGTAGGGGGGTGCGCAGGGGGTGGTCTCCGAGCGCGGCGTCTATGCGGGCCATGGCGCAGGGCGTGGCAGGTGTGGCACGCAGGGGGTGCGCTTGGGGTGGTCCCCGAGCGCGGCGTCCATGCGGGCCATGGCGCAGGGCGTGGCAGGTGTGGCACTTTCCTCATCCCGTAGGGGGTGCGCAGGGGGTGGTCTCCGAGCGCGGCGTCTGTGCGGGCCATGGCGCAGGGCGTGGCAGGTGTGGCAATTTCTCGGCCTCGTAGGGGGTGCGCAGGGGGTGGTCTCCGAGCGCGGCGTCTATGCGGGCCATGGCGCAGGGCGCGGCAGGTGTGGCACTTTCTCGATATCGTAGGGGGTGCGCTGGGGGTGGTCTCCGAACGCGGCGTCTATGCGGGCCATGGCGCAGGGCGTGGCAGGCACTGCATGTTCTCGACACCACCAGGGGTGCGCAGGGAATGGTCCCCGAGCGGGGCGCTTATGCGGGCCATGGCGCATGTCATGGCAGGCGCGGCGTATTTTCGACACCACCGAGGGCCTTTGTTGGAGAGGCCGTTATGGTGCTGGCCGTGCAGCGGTTGGTTGGTGTGGTCGGTGTGGTCAGGTCTGGTCAGGTCTGGTTTGGTTTGATATGATATGGTTGGTCTGAGCTGGTTGGTCTGGATTGCGTGGATGGCTGGCCTGGCTGGTTCGTGTGGTTCGTCTGGCTTATTATGGCTGCGATTGTTGGTGTGACTAATATGCTTGTTCTTACCTATTTGGTTGATTGGCCTGGCTGGGTTTGGCTGGGGTTGCTGACATTGCTGATCTGGCTGGTCTGGCCGGTGTTGCTTGTCTGGTCAGTCTGGCTGGTCAGTTTTTTTTCGTCTGGCGTGGATGGCGTATATGACTGATGATGGTTGGGGGTGCAGCTAGCGCGAGGGTGTGTGGAGGACGGCGAAGCACGATATTGTATGTGAGCACGCATAGCAAAAATAAGTATGTGGGGTTCCTCGGTGGAGTAATTTCAACACTTTCGCGCGCTCGCCTTTCAAATTTTCGACAGCCGAAGTTGGCCTCACGGGCCTCCAAGATCGCCCCCAAACAGCCTATGAACCTCCTTGAGAGCCCCACACGGGGCCAACAGGCGACCAAGACCGCCCCAGGAGGGCCCCAAAACGGCCCTGTAGTCCCCTATGGGACCACCGAAACGACCCAAAGACTCCCCAAAGGTGGGATCCGAAAGCGACGGGCCAAGAAAATCCTGAGATTCCTCCAGAAGCCCCCGAGACCTCCCCCAAGGGACCCCAACGAGGCTCACAAGAGGCTCTCATGATCCCCCCAGGAAGCATCCAGGAGGCCCCAAGAGAAGCCTCCTGTTCTCCCTCCTGGTCCTTTCCTCCATCTCTGTTCCTTGTAAGTACGGTGAGGGCGTTTGATATGGAACCGTTCGATTATGAATACAGGGTCCGAAGCTGGAAAAACTCCAATCGTGGATACGCCATGGATATCACCGCCGCCCCCATCATATCAGGAGCCCTTCCGGGTCCGAAGCTTCCTGGGCACAAGCCTTGGAGGCGCTGGAGGGCCATCGCCGCCCGCAAATCTCAATAATGCCCGCGGAACTTGACGGATAAAACATTTTCCGCTTCTCATCTATGCGATGGAGCTGTTCGAGGACAAGCGCCACTGCAGCCGCATGTTTGCCATCCCGGGATGTCAATGCCACTGCTTCTGGTCGGTTCAGCGCGGGGGCGGGCGTTTTCCGAATCAAAGAAAAGATTTGGTGAGCCAGCGGCGATACTTCCACCCCTGGCAAATCTGGATCCACTCTCGGGGGCAACCTGTCGTCATGGCTGCTCGTGCCCTGCATTTCCCGCGCCTCCCACGCTTGTTGCTGGTCAATCGCGATTTCGAAGCGTTGAAGTTTCTCCGGCCCCAGGCCCCGCCTGGCCACGCCGCGGAGCACGCGCGGGC